ATGTTTTTTTCTTTGATTTCACCAGTGAATAAAGTGCCTGCTATTAGCTCATTACTTCTCCACATACGATTTCTTAATAACAGATACACACCCCACCCACTGCCCTACTCTAATCCTCCCACCGCCAATCAGGTGTTTAGTTAACCCCTCTCATTAAGAAGAAGCGCGTCAGAATTCCTGATCCACTTCGCCCGTTAATATGCCCATGACAACGACCTCCGCAGAGAGGGAATACATTCTCGATGATGTGGAAGCTGGACGAGGCTCTTCCTCACTGGAGTATTGGGGCGGTGGTGGAGGTAATAGAAGTCGAACCGAATCCGCCTCTAGACCCTCCAATAACTCCAACTTAGAAGTAGCTGGAATTGAAAATGAGGTTCAAACCGAGGTGGGAGATGGGAATGAAGGAGGGAGCGAAAGGAAACGGGAGAAATGGGATACGAAAATTGACTTTCTCCTCTCCGTCATTGGATTTGCTGTGGATTTAGGAAATATCTGGAGATTTCCCTATATCTGTTATCAGAATGGTGGAGGTGAGTATTCAGCATGCATTTCCTTAGAAATATACCCCCTCCCCCAGAGAACTTCTGGATTACGTTCTATTTTTATTATTTTAAATTATTGTTTTTTAGTACTGGATTTGAATATTTCTCGTAAATTCTCGTCGTTCAAATATATAAATTTATTCTGAAATATTGGTCGAACTCATCACCATAAAATTAAAGAGACTATAACAGCGGTCTCTTTCTATTTTATCTGATATTAAAATTAAAACGCATATTAATTATTATAAATTTTATTAAAAAATAGTGAAATATAATATGAAAAATGTCTTTCGGTAAAATGGCTCTGAAGTCATAAATTATAAAGGGTAAACAATTCACTCATTCAATACAATGTTTGACCATTTAAACAAAATTTATTTATATTTATAGCAAATAGCAGACGTTTTGATAGTTATCAGTAGCTCTTTAGTTGACTTCAGGCTTCACAGAGGGGAAGTAACGGAAAGTTAAGGGGTGGGTAACAGAAGAGCGGACAGGAATTTGGCAGAAAAGGTAAGGGATTGTTTCAAGAATTCTTAGTTCTCATTGTCAGCAAAAATCTTTCCACTCGAGTTAAAGAGAGGCTGGAGTAGAACTTTCAGGATAATTGTGAGAAAGCTGTTGTAGTTGCTGCCTTTCTTGTAATGTCTTAATTTTGAAGTTAAAATTCGTCTGATTGTGACAAGAAGCCTACACTCACTAAGTTCAAAATTAATTGATTGGGATACAGCGCCATTCACATCTTCAACTTTAGAGGGCCATCACATTTTTTATGAGCGTCATTATTCTCTTTTTAAAACATAAAGGAAGCTTGATACCATATGAGCTTTCATTAATGTATCACGCAAACCGCTTATTTTGAAGCGTTACTAAGTAGAAAGGCGGGTTCATTTGGTTAAAATCGTACCCAATGGTTTGGTCGCCACATTGGTCTTCATGCGCATCTAGACAGTCGGAGTTCACGAATTCAATGAACCTCAACGCAACTCAAATGCCGTATACTTTGAAATTAGTCACCTTATAGAGATAGTGCTCTTCGTATTTCTCATCAAAGTACTCTTTTATTGGGTATAAAACTGTATTCTTCATTGAGAGCAAGGGGAGCATTAGAGTATTCCAGATGTTTATAAAAAGTACAAGTAGTTTTATCGCCGTGGCTTTAAAAATGAATGACCCTTTCTAGGGTTGTAGTATTCGGAAAAGAAGAAACATGACATTGTAGCATTTATTATTTATTTATTTATTTCAAATGGCAGGCGTTTGGATAGTTATCATTAGCCATTTAGCTGACTTCAGGCTTCACAGAGAGGAGGGGGAACATCAAAGTGACAAAAAGTCGAGAGGGGGGACAGAATAATGATTAACAGATGTGAAAGAGACAGACCAGAGACAGTGGAGGGATTAATGATTTGCAGATGTTAGAGACAGACACAAAACAGAATAATGATTCACAGATGTAAAGGAGACAGACAAAGACAGAATAATGATTCACAGACAAAAAAAGTCGAGAGGGGGACAGAATAATGATTCACAGACGTTAAAAGTCGAGAGGGGGACAGAATAATGATTCACAGACGTAGAGAACAGGCAAAAGAGCAGAGAAAAGGTAAGATGAGTACTGTAGAAGGGGTTGAAATATGGCATCAGTTGGGGTAGTTTGAAGTCAGAAGTCAACTGCCGGTTTATAGACCCTTTTGCCGTATGAGTATACGTTGCCCAGGGTGTAGACTTTTTTGTCGCATGAGTATACGTTGCCCAGGGTGTTAGACTTTTTTGCCGTATGAGTATACGTTCCCCAGGGTGCAGTTAATAGACTTTTTTGCCGTATGAGTATACGTTGCCCAGGTTGCACAGCGTGGAGGTAAGTCTATCGCACACCCCATGAAAAAAACATAAAATATCAATAAAATCTAGAACCTGATTGGTCTTTGATCTTCCTTTTTGACAACTTTTAATCACAGACAATCCTCTTAAAAATAACTTTGAGCTTATTTTCAAGATTCTACAAGTATAAATAACTACTAACTCTTGTAAAATTCCCTTAAATTGTCTATATTATCTCGTAAAATACATGTTTTAGACAAGAAAGCATCAAATTATATTTAGCATTGAATTTTCCTATATCGAGGTGAGAAAAGACGTCTACAAATGGCTTGAAAGCCTTCAAGCCCAGGAAATAGACATTTTGAGAGCTAGAGGAGGCATAGTTAAGTTTAAGTAACATAAGATAACTTCTGTAGAGGAATAAAAAGCTTTTTCTTAACGGAAAGAATTATTCTCAGACTTTTTTAATTTTAATCCCAATTTACTCACTCTGCATGTCATAAAAATCCATCTAAATTATCTAGAATTCGGAAGTCATGTGAGAATGTCATATTCACTCGTCAAATTATCAAATACCTGTAGCTTTATTGATACGATTTAAAATTAACCGAGAATTGTTCATTTGATAGGGGGGGGGGGTTGATTTGTAATAAAATGCCAATTCCACGTACCACATTCTTTCCACACCCACACATATATATATAGCCATATTTTGTCTTTTTTCATATTTGCTATATTAAATTTTCAAAAAACGTTATTGTTGACAGTGTCGATAAACCCCTTGCTTTTTCCTCGACTATATCGAAATGAGCTAATTAAAGTTTTTTTCCTATCAAACCTCCATCATAAATAATGCAGAAATGGTTTTTTTAGGTACGATACTAGACCCATTAATTTGCTTGTAACTTCTTGTAACACGTTTTAATTTTATCTTCAAGGCCATCATTCGATATCGCAAATACTAACACTTATATAATATTTACCTTCCGGTTGATATGTGCGTTATCGCGCCTAACAAGAGCCTGTGCAAATAAAAGATAGTATGGCTAACCAAACGCCTACGCAGAAGAACAATTATTCAGTTGCTACTATTCTAACATTTTATGCTTAATTCGAAATGGCAAGATTATTTTTTCATTCAAACGAGTGTAACGAAAATGGAATGTTCATTAGTGCTTAAATAAACTAGTGACTACTTATATTTCATTTAATTAGTTAGAGCGTTTGCTTGTTTTTTTGCCTATCGACACTACTTGCAGCAAACCTGAAGGACTGTAAATCGTTCTATTTTCAGGTTTAGGCAGAGGTTTTTATTCGGTGAGTTGATTTCAAGTGAATTAACTTTTTCACAAATCGTACGTGATAATTTTTCAATAGATGATTCTCTTAACAGTTGTCTTGGCACTCTATTTGGCATTCGCTTTATTTAGTTTAATTACCAATTTATTATTTATCATAAAATTTATAGTTATGAAATCAGAAACTCGTTGATAGTGTTAAACTCAAACTTCTTTATGCTTTGGGATCAAAATTTATAAATATTTTTCTCCTGCATAAATTTTAACTGCAATAAATTATGTGAAAGAATTCTATGCAGCTACTAACATAACGCATTTACCCTACTCAAATCTAGAAATTTTCCAAAATATAAATTGATAATAAATCTTTTATAAATTATGCAACTAGGCAATAATTTGTGTTAACATAACTTTATAAAAATATATTCCTTGGAAAAAATATACCGATGATTAACTGATCCATTAAATGTACATTACATGGAGGGATTTAACGCACAGAAATTCTCGCCTCTACAATTTCTGCCAAATTATTCGCCTAGTGCCATTTCGCTCACTAATTGGCGATCTGAATCCCTCCATAACTGTTTCTCATTCCATCAATTCTAAAAAATTATGATATTTATTTAAGGGCTTCCTATTTATATAATAATTATAGAAAAAGCATTAAT